CTAACCACTGCACCACCATGGCTCACTGTGCCACCGCAGATCAATCACTGATAGTTCAAACTCCCTTCTAAATAAGAGAATCTCAGTTTTGGATTGAATTCCTAAAGGCCTATGGGGCTGGACTTCAACCCAACCTCCCTGATGCAACCATGGCTTCGTCATTAAGTGAGGAATATTATTGGGGATCTAGGGAAGGAAACCTTTTATCTCTTACTTTATAGCTCTGGAATACTGCCTGGATTCCTGTCCTGTACTGCAGGAGCAAAAGACGCATTTAAAAAGAAAGAACAAAGCACCAAAATTATAAAACAATTCTGGAGACTGGTCCTTAAAAGAATGAAAACCAAGAGATCTTTATTCAGGAAATTACATGATGACAGCAAAATTGAGTTTGCCAATCAGTGGTTTAAAACCGGCATGTGTTTTTGTCATCCCTAGAGATGAGGACGGCAGAAGACTAAATAAAAGAGAACAGAAAGTTTTGACAGTCCTTGTAATTAATGTCCAATGACAGAGATTTAACAGATGAACAGAGTTGGAAGGGACCTTGTAGGTCATCTAGTCCAACCCCCTGCCCAAGGAGGAGATCCTACACTATTTTTGACAAATGGCAATCCAATCTTTTCTTGAAAGTCTCAAGTGATGAAGCTCCCACAACTTCTGAAGGCAAGCTGTTCCATTGGTGAGATTGTTCTGTCAGAAAATTTCTCTTTCTAGGTTGAATCTCTCCTTGATCAGTTTCTATCTATTATTCCTTGTCTGGCCTTTGGGTGTCTTGGAAAATAGCTTGACCTCCTCCTCTCTGTGGCAGCCCTCAAATACTGGAACATTGCTATCATGTCTCTCCTAGACCTTCTCTTCCCTAAACATACCGAGTACTTGCAACCATTCATCATGTTTTAGCCTTAAGTCCCCTAATCATCTTGGGTGCTCTTCTCTGCACTTTTCCTAGAGTCTCAACATCTTTATTATAATATGGTGACCAAAACTGGATGCAGTACTCTAGGTGTGGTCTTACTAAGGCTTTATAGAGTGGTATTAGTACCTCACTTAATCTTGATTGTATCTCTCTGTTAATGCAGCTTAGGCATTGACTAAACTGCCGCTGCTTTTTTTGGCTCCCACTGCACACTGCTGGCTCATATTTAACTGGTTGTCCACTAAGACTCCAAGATCCCTCTCACAGTTACTGC